CCAGACGGTCTCAGCCTGGTGACAAGGCAGCCTGCGAGCGTGGAAGGTTGACATGTGGTCCGACTGGTGCAGCCCCTGCACAACTGCAGGTGTGAGACAGGCAGCTCCAGGCAGCCAAGCCCAGCTGAAAGATGGCCTGCGGCCCTTTCATCAGGAGGGAAAGCTGGGAGGAGGGGGGCGCCAGGACCTTGCTACACTCTCCCCTTGAATACCTTCAGCCTGGGGAAGTCTGGCTAGAACCTGGGACATGCAGGCCCCCTCCGGCGCAGCCCCTCCAAGCCCCCATTCCTGTCCTGCCTGGGAACTGTAGAGCCATGGGCTTGTCAGCTGAGTCCCTGGGGACGCAGATGATCTGAAGTGCAAAGAACTTCCGGCACTTTCCTTCCCCTACCCCCACCCGCCCCGTGTCTACATCTGCGCTGTTTTTCCTTACCCAGATACTGTTTCATAGAGGCAAGCTTCATCAGATGTACTTCCGGTCTGAGAAAATACATTACAATACATTTCCATGCTAAGTAAGTTGGTGCTTGCCCAGAATTAATCACCATTGGGGAGGGCAATGAGGTATCTGGGAATCTTACAAAGAAGAACTTCTCCTTTGGGGAAGAAGATGCAAATTGCACTTGGTGCCATGCAGTGGCACATCCTGGGGGTCCTGGAGAGGCTCCCCAGCAGTGGAAGCTCGTGCTGTGAAACACAAGCCAGTGGGGGGAATGGCTCCTTCTCGCCGTCCTCCTCCCCAAACCCCCCCTCCCGCTCCCCAGCTGAATCCAGGAAACTGGAGCACACAGTCCCACAGAACCCACTATCTCCCCCCAGACAGGCCAGATAGGAGTGTGCAGGGCCCAGGGGGACCTGGGCGGACAGTAGGGCCTCAGGGGTGGGAGGCCAGCTCCCACCTCCCTTCTCCCAGGGTGCTCCTCCCTGGGACACAGCTCAGGATGTAGCTGCAGACTCCTTCCCCCGGCTCTTCCCCTCCTGCCTCCTCTTTCCTTTCTTCCTGTCCATCTCTCCTTCTCCATACTCTGCCTCTCCCTCCCATTCTCCCTTTCTTCCTGTCGCCCTCTTTGCCTCTCCTTCTCCCCGCCTTTCTCACTCTCTGTCTTCCTGTCTCTCTCTCTGCCCTCTTCCCTGCCCCCTCTCTGCCTCTTTCTTCCTACACCTCTCTCTCTCTAAGCCCCTCTAGCTCAATGTCCCTTCTCCAGCCCACTGGTATCTAAGATGGTTATTGCTATGCTCCAACATCATAATCCGTCTCTGGCCTTCTGCTCCAGCCTCACAGAGGTTTGGTAACACACACCTGCTGGGACAGCACTTCCCTCTGTTTGGCGAGCTCTAGTGTTGATGCTGCTTTTGGGGACCTGACCGTGCTGTCCTAGGAGCCAGGTAGACTTCAGCGAGTCCATCTCACTTCTCTTGGCAACTTGTGCTGGAATAAAACAAGATGCTCTTTGTTTAAACGACTATGGAAAGATCTTATTTTCTAGCTCAGGGTTCGAAACCAGCTGGTGCTGTGGTATATCAGGCTAATGCTCTGGTTGTAGTTTCGGCATCCCATATAGGAAAGGTTCGAGTCCTGGCTGCTACACTTCTGATCCAGCTCCCTGCTGATGGTCTGGGAAAGCAACTGAAGATGGCCCAAGTGCTTGGGCCCCAGTACCCACTTGGGTGACCCAGAAGAAGCCCTTGACTCCTGGCTTTGGACCAACCCAGCAGGGGGGTTTGGATGTACACTCAAGGTTAACAATGGCTGATATGTCAGATGCAATGTTCCTCCCAGCCATTCTGGGAAACTGCAAGACCCAAACCCAAACCATAAGATGTGGCTCCAAATCTTTGGCAGCCACAGCCTGGCTGAGCACTGCCAACGGGATCTGTCTTCATCTTTCAGGCAAATACAAAGGGGTAAGCAAGAGACCCCTTAACAATGGGGCTGGCATGGTGTGTATGAGGTTAATTCTCCACCCACTGCACTGGCATCCCATAGCGTTCTAGTCCTGGCCACTCTACTTCTAATCCAGCTCCTTGCTAATGCGTGTGGAGTCCTCGGGACCCTGCACCCACGTGAGACCCAGAAGCAGCTCCTGACTCCCAGCTTCGGATCGGCTCAGCGAATGGAAGATTTCTCTCTTGTTTCTTCTTCCTCTATACATCTCTTTGAAATATTTCCAAATAAAAAATAAATAAAGCTCTACAAACAGAAACTACCAGAGAGGTTCAACAAGACAGCCCCACATGATCAAAGCTGGGTTTTCTCATTCGGGTCTTTTTGCGCTGAGAGTGTGCGAACTCCAATGGCAGGTGACAAAAAGTGCAGACAGGAAACAGCCCAGTGCCTTCTGGGACCTCACTATATTCTGATAGTGAGCATAAATGCGAAGTTTCCAAAACACAGCTGACTGATATGTACCAGCTCCTGGGCTGTGACAGTTACAAGTTCAGGTACAATCAAGGACACATGAGCAACAGGTAAAGTAAGTGAGCCCCTGTGTGTGTGAGAAACAAGGAGGTGGGGGGAGCGGAAAGACTCAAACAGAAAAACAAAGCAGAAGTAGTGTCCCCAGACAATATTTTTAACGCCTGACTGTAAGGTTGTGCGCGCACAGAAGCCATGAAATGGGTCAAGCTCACGCACGCAGTGCATCCCGGATGCCGGAGTCCCCACTTGGCGCCAGGGGGCGCGCTGGCCCTCCCTAAAGCAGCCGGTCGGACAAGAGGCAGAGTTTTTTTGTCTTTGAGGCCCTGTCATTCTCTGTATAAACAAGTTACGTTCAAGTGTTTAGGATATAAATTACGACCATGCCGGCTGCCTCGGGAGGAATGTAAACACAGCACTGTGGTCGGGGCAAACTCTGAAACTGACTTCATAATTTATAGCAGGCCCCGAGGAACTGGGCATAAAAGAACAGAAAAGACTAAAAAAAAAAAAAAAAAAAAGACCCGGTTGAACAGCAAATCCGATCAGAAAGAGAAAGAGAGGGGGAAAAAAAAAGCTTACATCACGCTTCATTTTGGGAGCTCTAGGAAGGAAATGTGAAGGTCAGAAAGATGGTTCAACCAGGAAACTGAAATGTGCTTGTGATTGACTAATTGGGACAAGGGCCTTTTAGGGGGTGAGAAACAAACATGAGGTTCCCCCACACACCATCAGAGAAGCAAAAATATCAATAACACAGCTAGAACTTGCCCAGCAACGCCGCCAGCCGGTGCCCAGGGTGGCTGTGGGCATTACTGCGCTGACCCTGTCCAGCAGCAGGGGCCCTGGCCAGGACCTGCTGCACTGCTGAGCCTGCGAGGCTGCTGCAAGCAAAGGGTCCTCCTGCCTCCTTCGCAGCTCTGAGTCTCTGAGAAACCAATGGGGGACCCCAGGGGAGCCCTGCTCCAGCAAGGGAGAATGAGAGGGGAGGGGGCTGACAGGGCCCGGGGAGGGGCTGCAGACAGCTAATGGGCATGCTCTGAGGTGGCGGCAGAGCACCGTGTGTGTGTGTGTGTGTGTGTGTGTGTGTGTGTGTGTGTGGTGGAGGGGTCCTAGTTTCCACTCCTCCGTAAGGAATGGTGGGGAAGATCCAGGAACTGCAAGCATCCATAGCTAGTTCTTGCTAGGCACTCGGCAACCTTTTTGCTTTGGGCGTCCATGAAAAGGCCATGGCTAGAACCAAGTTGCCGCCTGCAGAGGGGCACAGGGCTGGACAGCCAAGTCCAGCCTGGGGAAGTTCCGGCTGGTGCCTTTCTGTACTCCCTCCCCCACTCCACCCGCTCCACCTTCATTTGTCTCCTCCTCTTGGGGGAGAGGGTGGGGGACAGGGGACAAGGGACAGAGAAGGGGAAGGGACAGAGCTATCTTTGGGACCTGGAAGGCAAACACAAAAGGGGCACAGGAGGAAGTTTGCTTCCTTGCAGCCCTCACCTCGCTTTCTCCGGCCTGCCTGGCAGCCCCGCTTACCTTCTGGTTTCAGTTTAAGCAGTGAGAGCCAGGGAGAGGCACAGAAAGCCAGCATGGCAACAGTGCTGAGAAGGGCCACGATTGGTCAGCCCGCTGGTCGGTGGGTCGGTCAGTCGGTGTGTTGGTCGTCTTAGACCTGGACTGTGTTAGCCAAGGCACAGTCCCCACATCCCGTTGTCAATTACACAGTGGGCGCGGGGGCAGGAAAGCACTGGTACAGGCAGCTGGTACAGGGAGGGGTGGGCAAAGAGGCAGGGGATCCACGGAAGCTGTCGGCACCTGGCAGAGCGAGCAGGTCTCTAACACTGCTGTTTGTCATATACATTTTATTGAAAAAAAAATTTTTACATCAAAATATTTTGGAAAACAGTTAAAAGCATACGTAAGTGTAAATATATCCTCCTTTTAAAATTCAAGCGAAGTGAAGAGTATATACGAAGATCATGAAAAGTATCTTTAAAACTGGGTGTAAAAATCTGGTAAAAAAAAAAATGTGATGTGGTCAATAGTGAAACCACTTTCTCCGGCTCCTTGCATGGTTACTTAAGAGGTTTCTTGCTTCCGTTCTTTGGCACCTGTATCCATGAGGGGCGTTTGGGGGAGGGGGACATGGAGAGCTTCCCCAGTGTAGCAAGCCAGCAAGAGGAGGGTTCTTGGAGAGCTTGTGCTTTGCACACACCGCCTTTTTGAAAAGCCACGTGAGTTTTCATAGACAAACACATGCGTGCACGCACGCACGCACGCACACACACACACACACACACACACAACACACCCTGTCTGCTTCGCGCAGACCCTGGCCACCCAGGGGCCAGAAAGTCCCATGGCTCCCCCAGCTGGGAGCCTGCACATCTCCCCACGAGGAGCATCCGCTTGCCAAGGTCCGACAGAACCCTGGCAAGGAGCAGGCGTGTATGGACAGCAGAGGGGCACCGGGGCTAGGTGCTGGGCTGTGCTACTCACTGCTCTCTTGGGAGCACACTGCGAGTCCGGGCCGTTCTGGTCTGCCCCTCATCGGAGAGAGAGGTGAGGGGAGCCTCCGCCTGGCTGGCCTCGTTCACATGACGCAGGGCTTAATATCCTGACACACGCTCTGGTGGTGGTGGTGATAGTAGGACCCGCTGGCCGAGGGGGGGAAGGAAGAAATGCCGTTGAAATTGAGGACAAAATCCTTTCTGTCGCACACCGCAGTGGAGTGAGGTTGGTAACGAGGCAGTCCCACTGAAACAAACAGAAAAGGGACACACAAAACCTCAGACCCCTTCAGCTAGCCGAAGGCTGCACACTGCGTTTAGCATTCTGGTTCCCCCCAGGCTTCGGGCGGGTGTCTCCAGGGCTGTAAGTCCAGACCTAGGGTCTGGAAGCTTCAGGTTCCCAAAAGGGCTTTTGGATCTTGGGTTCGGTGCCCAAGCCTCTACCAGAGCCAGTTGCCCCCTCCACTCCTGAATCCCCCAGGGTGGCTTCCAGCACTTTAGTCCTTGCTTTGGGGCCATTCCCCAGCCAGCTGGGCTGTTGAGGGGAACACGCAGCCTAGCAGCCAGGCGTCTTTGTGCCAAGAGGGTACTGTGGAAAAGCACGCCATTGCCACTGCCGCACGCCAGAGGCAGGAAGAGCTCCGCAGCTCTCTCCTCCTCCCCGCGGGTCCCTGGCAACTCCATCTCCTGCAGGCAGGCCTCCAGCGAGCAGGTGGGGTATCACGCAGCCTCTTCTGAGGAGGACGGAGAAGGCCCTTAAAGCACCGAGCTCCCTCCGGACAGATCCTAAGCTTTGCGGGCTGCTCGGTTTTGCTTTTGCTTTCATTGCAGGCCCCTGGCGCCGTTGGGTGGGTCTCTAAGTGCATTGAGCTCCTGGGAATCTCCTGTTCCAAGTCCCCCCAAACCCCACTAGCGCTGGCCTGCTGAGCCGGGTTGGCCTGTGTCCTTTCTAGTCACCGCAATAAGATGGGGAACCCCCACACCCATACATCACTGAAGGACTGAGAGAAGTCTTGGCGGGGCGGGAGAGGGAAAGCAGCAAGAAAACCATGCCCGCCATGATTTGGCCAGGCTCAGGCCTGACTGGGACCGGTGCGGGTCCCTGGAGCTTTCAGGAAGTCAGGGACTCGGCCTAAGTGACTCTTGAGAAAGTCGCTGTCGTGGCTTGCCGCGTGTTCGCTCTCCGAGTTAGTGGTGCCAGCTTACGGGCCTCAAACCAGCGTGACCCGGGAGCGAACGGGCACGTCATGCCAAAGACCCAGGGTTTGCTGTGCTGGCCGGGACTCAGAATCCTAGCTGTTCCTTTCTAGGCTCACCCGACTTAAGCAAGGACGTGCTGCGGGCCAGAGACAGGCGGGGTGCGCTGCCCGGCCGGCCATGGTCACGGGCTCCCCGGGATGGGGGTGAGTGGCCCTCCTGGGTGTGCTGGGGAGAGGATGGGGGTGGCGACGGCCGTGTGTGTACGCTGAAATGTATTCAGCCCAGGGGAAAAGCCTCGACCCTGCTCGAACTTTCCAGTGGGCCTCGGCCGGGCGGAATGAATCTGGTGGCACCCACCAGGCCATTGCGGACCCCCTTGGCTGCTCGGAAGCCACCGCCTGCAACAGCTCGGGGAGACACCAAACTAAGTCTACGGGTGGAAGGGAAAGAAACCTTCCCATGGGGTGGGGGAGGCGAGGGGCGACGCGTCCTCCAGTCAGGCCTGAGCTATGGCCTGCCAGCGGGTGCTCCAAGCACACCCGGGCACGCTGGGCCGTGCGACCTCGTTCTTCCCTAGACACCGGGTCGGCGAGTTTGCGAGGACAGCAGCCTTGAGCTCAGGATGCCGCAGGACACCGCCAGCCAGAGCTCCTCGGTAGTTCTCTTTTTTAGGAAACTGTTTTACAGAGGCTTTGCATCTGAAAGACTCTGGGTTCAAGTTGAGAGTGGCCGGCAGCAAGGTGGGGCGGGCTGGGCCGGGAGAGGGGCAGGCGGGCGGCCGAGGGGGCGTGTTGTGTGATTGACAGCCAGTGGGGGGGGATTTTTTTTTTTTTAAAGAGGGGAGGGTCGGCTGTATTGGTTACTTGTTGAAATTCCCATAAAACTGAACAAGACTGTTCTCAGTGGGTGAAGTCGGGCTAAGCCCCTCTCCGGTGTGGTCTCCGCGCCCAGACTTTGTTTACTTAACCTCTGAGAACCGCATTTAAAAGGCCTATTTGGGAAATTTCTCTCACCGAGGCACAGACATCCTTTTGCCCATTTCTGGCCTCCCCCCCGCCTCATCCGGCACACCGGGCCGCGCGGCACCGCTGTCCTAAGGGCGGCTGTTGCGGGTCCAGCAGCCAGCCCCCCGTGGGCATCAGGGCTGTGGCAGGCCAGCCGGTCCCGCAAAAGGCTTGGTCCTTCTACCGCCCTTGGCACGTCCCTGAACACTCCTCATCTGACATCAGCGCATTTTAAATCACTCTGCCAGTGGCCTGGGATGGCAGGAACAGCTCTGGGAAGCAGAGGCCCAGCGAGAACCCAGTGTGGGGCGGGAGGAGGGATGGTACGTAGCTCCGCACCCCCTCCAACGGGCCGCTGCGGGCCAATGATCAACAGCCCCCGGGGACCCCAAATGAGTTCCTCTCTACCCAGTCTGCCTCGCTTCTCCCCTGTGCCCGCCCATCCCAAAGCTGTCGGGACTTAAACAGTAACAAAACGAACTTTAAAAAACAAAACCAAAACCCCAAAGTCAAAAGGACCCAGGCACATCAAGGCTCCTGGACCAAGGTCAGTGTCAGACGCCTGGCGCCTTTAAACCAGGCCTTCGTCACGGATACCCGCCGACCCGCGGGGCTCCCAGAAGCTGGGCACAGCCGGGCACGGAGTCTGGGAAAGGGCACGAAGGCCCTGGATCCCTCCTGGGAGCAGACGCCTGGTCCCGTCAGCTGCCTCCCGACCCCATGCCCTGTGGCCCCGGTGGCACCATTACCTGACAGGTCCTCACGGGCGTTCTGGTGCAGGTAGTTCTGCTCCAACGAGTAGGACGACACGCCGGAGTGAAGGCCCGCGGGCGCCGCGCTGTTGCCGCTGGGCGTCAGGGCCGGCGGCTGCTTGAGGTAAGGCGAGGCTCCAGGCGAGCTCCAATGCGCCGCAGGGCTCGTGTAGGGCGAGTGGCACTCGATGGCGCTCGCCATCGCCGGGGAGGAAGGTACCGGGCTGCTGCTGCTGTCCGGCCCGAAGTCCCCACCGCTGCCGCCCCCGCCGGCCGCGCCCACGGCCCCGGGCCCCGCGGGCACCGGACAGCTGGCCATGTAGGTGGAGCCCGGGTTAGGCGACATGTGCGGGACGTGGTGATGATGGTGGTGGTGGTGGTGGTGCGCGTGAGGATGCGCGTGGCCCGGGGCACCCGCGCCCGCGTCGTAGCCGGTGGCCATCATGTCGAGACCGCCGTAGCCGCCGCCCTGACCGTGGCAGCCGAGCGGCGCCGAGGGGGGCGCCTGGAAGTCGAAGCCCTGGGGCAGCAGCGAGGCCCCGAAGCCCAAGCCGCTGACCACGCGGTGGTACATGGGCTTGAGCGCCTGACACTTCCGTCTGAAGCCGCGCGGCCGGCGGCGGAACGAGCCCTCTTCGAACATGAACTCGCTGGCCGGGTCGATGGTCCAGTAGTGGCCCTTGCCGGGCCGCCCGAGGCCCTTGGGCAGCTTGATGAAGCACTCGTTGAGCGAGAGGTTGTGGCGCACGGAGTTTTTCCAGCCCTGGTAGGCGCCGCGGAAAAAGGGGAAACGCGCCTGCAGGAACTGGTAGATCTCGCTGAGGGTCAGGCGCTTGCTGGGCGAGCTCTGGATGGCCATGACGATGAGCGCGATGTACGAGTAGGGCGGCTTCTCCGGTCGCCGCAGCCCCGAGCTCGCCTTCTTGGGGCCGCCGCCGCCCGCGCCGCCACCGCCGCCGCCGCTCGCGCTCTTGCAGGCGGCCGAGGAGGCGCTGGCCGCGTTGGACGAGGACGAGGCGCAGGAGCCGGAGGACGACGACGACGACGACGTGGAGGAGCAGGAGGTGGCGGCGGCGTCCAGCGCGGTGGCGGTGGCGGCGGCGGCGGCCGGCGGCGTGCTCATCAGGGCGGCCTGCAGCGCTCCGGGGGCCGGGCTGCCGCACGCGCGGCGGAGCGGGGCCGGCGGCGGGCGCGGCGGGGGCGGCGGCGGCGGCCCGCCCTCGGTGGTCATCAGGGAGCCGGGCCGCGGGGGCGGACCCCGGGCGGCGAGCGGAGGCGCCGGAGCGGGGTCGGCCCAGAAGCCCGGCGAGCGCCCTAGCCCGCCGCCCGGGCTGCAGCCGTGGCCACTGCGGGCCAGCGCTTCGGCCGGCGGCGTCGCCTCCTTCAGCTCCTCCGGGGCTGCTGGCTGCAGCGGCGGCGGCGGCGGCTGCGGGTCGGAGCCAGCGCCCGGCGCATCCCTTCCCCGGAGCCGCGCGGATGCCCCCTCGCCCTGCGCGCCCTGCGCGCCCACGGCCCGGCCGGCCGGCGCAGCCCGAGCCGCTGGGAGCCGGGCTGGAGGCCGGGACCCCGGGGACGCGCCCGACGCCTGCAGCAGCCGAGCGCTCCTCGCAGTGTCTCTGGGACTTCCTCCCGCCCGCGCCCTCCCCCGGCCGCCCGCGCTCCCTCCCTCCGGCGCAGCGCACCCCGCCCTGCCTCCCCGCGCCCCTCCCAACCTGGCGGCCGCCGCTCCCGCTCTTATCTCGGCGCTCGCCCGGCGGGGTCACCCCTCGCCTCTTCTGGAATTCCTCCCTGGGTCTCCTTTCCCTCCCCCCCACCCCGCCCAGACCCGGCGCTCTGAGACTGCTCTTCCCTGCCACCTCACTCCACCCCTCCCCTACTCCCACCCCCGGGCCAAACCCCAACAGCTCCGACTACCCGAGGTCCGCTTTCTCTACGCCCCTGCTTCCCGCCCCCCGCGGCGCGCGCCCACCCCTCGCTCTCCCCTCCCCCTCCCCGTCTCTCGGCGCCCCTCTCCCCCAGCCCCAACCCTTCCTCCTCCCGGCCCAGCCCTGGCCGAGGGGTGCCGCCGCTGCCCGGAGCCGCCTTCCTAGCGCCGCCCTGACACCATCTGTCAACTTCATTTAGACCTAGCGGTCCCTCTGCCACACGCCAGGGTGCCAGACGCCCAAGGTAACGTGCCGAGCATCCCTCCTCTCTCTCTCTCTCTCTCTCTCTCTCTCTCTCGCCTACGCACTCCAAGAGGGCACTATTGGGATCTTTTTCGGAACTTTGAGCCTCGGGGGTTTTTGGATGGAGACACGGAGGCCACGTTGGAAAGGCTCCGGAAACTTGGGCCAACTGGAGCTCTTGTTAGCATTTCTTACCTCGTTTGCAGTTGTCCAATTGATTTTTTTTTGGAGGGGTGGGAAAGATGGGGAAAGCTATGCAAAAAAAAGGTTGACGCTGAGATAAGAGAATCATAACTATGTTCATTCTTGAAGGGGTGTGCGGCTGATACTAGACAGCCTCGGTTTCAACGTGTGCCCCCCCCCCTAAAAAAAAGGAAAGAAAAGTTAAAAAAAAAAAAAGTGCGCTCTCAAATCTGACTTGTGGCCCAGAGCAGCCACCCTGGTTGTGGGTAGTTACTGGCTAAGTCAGAAGAGGCAGGCTCTGTGCGGGATGTGCCCCCGGAGAAATCATTTCCAATGAGAGCCGACAGTCGGTTATTGGATTACACGTGCAGGGAAGTGTAGTCTGAGCAGGCAGGGGGAGGAGGGGAAGAGCAGGCCCCCCCACAGATGGCCACAGCAGGGTGGACCCGGAGGCCCTAGAGGCAAGCCACCGCCTAGAAGCCCTTGGCCAAGATGCAGGCGTCTTTCCCGGAGAGGAGCTAGGTGACACCGGGTGGTGTGGGTGTGTGCTGGGGAGCCTGGGGGAGGAGCCATTAGGGAGCCATCTGCAAAGAACTTCCCAGAACAGAACCCAGGCCCCTCCTGGTGCACCGGGCTGACACACTCTGGTCTGAAGCCTCCCGTGTTGGGCATGGGGGTGGGGGATGTGTGTGTGTGTGTGTATAGGAATGGGGAGAAAGACGGGGGGGGGGGGGCGGCAGGAGCTGGGGCTGGCCCGAGACAGTGACCTGAAGTTGAGTGGAAGCAGGCTTTTTCCATCAAAACCCTGCCTGGATACCACACACAGAGACGGCGTGTCAGTTTACTGCCCTGAGCCGGCCTCCTTTTCCCTAAGCTCCACAGTAATTAGACAAAGAAAACCTAAATTAGCTGAACAGGCGTCGACAGCTTCCTCCAGAGCACCCCTGGTACCTACATGGGAATGTGTGCGAAAATGGCTTGATTGTGGCCCAGAGTCAGCTAAGAAAACACCACGGAACCCAACTCCGTTTGCCGCTCATTTCCAGGAGGGGGAAAGGGAACACGCCGTTCTTTTCCGGAAGGGATGTTTGGATTGGGTTGGGGCAGGGGTCTTGCAGTGGCTCCCACTTTCCGAGCGTTTCTTTCTGACCGGCTGGTGCACATTTTGAGTGGGAACAGATCTGTCCCCCCTCATCTCCTAAGCTATTTCCCCATTGTACTCTGCCATTTTTACATAGGGTAGCTTGAACAGAAATGGCCAAATACGGACGAGAGTGGGACATGTTTACCGTCTGCTTTAAGCGCTGGAGAAACCATTCAGTAAAATAGCAACCAGATTAGAGAGGACCGAGCATGGAAAGGGGGCCCAAGTGTGTTGGCGTGTGTGTGTGTGTGTGTGTGTGTGTGTGTGTGTGTGTGGCTGTGGGGGAGAAGGGGAAAGCTTTGGCTGGGGCAGACTGGACAACAGTCCTCTCCTTCATAGGTGAGGGAATTGGGCAATGGCTTTGACATACACTTAGCCGATCACTGCACTCACTCGGCAATATCGGCGCCAGAACTCTCTATGGCAATAATTCCTGGAGTGGGCATTATGGCTGTCTTGGAGAACGTGCTGGAAGCCATGGACCCGCTTCCATTAAAAAAGAAAATTCCAACTGGCCCTATTCTGCAAATACTTTTTTTTTTTTAAGTTATCATACTCTGCGCACACAAACACACAATGTTTGCTCTACTGCTTGGTTGGTTGATCTCCCGAATCACCACAATTGATCACCATTTAGCCTAAACTCTCAGCTTGCAGGAGGGACCCAGCCGGGAAAGACTGGGGGCTGGAGATCTGGGGGGGAGCCAGCACAGACTCCACAGAGCCCTTTTGTGCAGATCCCACTGGAACCCCCGTCCCTACATTGAACTTTCACTGGAACTGGATGTGGTCTTTCACTCCAGTCCGCTTAGAGCCCAGGTACCATCTCCCTCCTGCCGAGGGGATCAAAGGGGGTTCTCTGAGAAGGTCTGGGTGAGTGGCTGTTACCAACTGCATCAGGCCAGCTGGTCTGGAGCCTTGGGTAGGGTACTCCAGATGAACTGGTGTTGAGTGGTCCCAACACCAGGCCACCCTTCCACATTGCCCTAAGGCGTTGTTTTAAATTCCGGTGCCTGGTAGTCTTTTGGATAAGGTTGCAGGTGACAACAAATGAGGCCCCATCCTTAATCCCTAGTGAGCTTTTGGAAAGCAAGCAGGACTTCGTTGTGGTGGTGGCGGCGACTAATTCTTAACCCTTTTTGCGGGAGCAAACTCCTCTCCTCTAATTTCCATGCCTTTTAAACAACAAACATCTTGACCTATTATTATTATTATTTTCGTTTCAATGATTCTTGGCCAGTTCGTGTGCTCCTTATTAACCAGAATTGCCCAGCCACAGGGCCACCGGTATGGTCTCCGCCGGCTCCCCCTGCCCTTAGCTGACTGTCTCCTGCCGGGTTTGCGGGTTGCTTTCCGCTCCGAACCCTTAGATCCCACCGCCTCACCCTCATCCCTCCGCCTGCCCCGGCGGCGTAAGAGAATGTAAACTTGGGCAAGCTTGGGTTTCTCCGATTTGGTTCTGTAATCGGCGTTTAATTCTAGGAAATCTCATCATTATTGCGGTTGAGATCTTAAGTTCTTAGCGGGCTTCCTCCGCTCCGTGGGTTCTCCATGAAGTGGCTCAGACTAAACCAGCTGCCAACCGGAGAGACGCGTCCGTAGCCACGAGCTCCACGACGACCACGTCGAAGACGTCTGTGCCGGGCCCCGACACGAGCCGCCGCGCCCTCCCCTTCCTTCCGCCCTGCCCCGTGCAAGCTCGGTCTCTGGCCGGCTAGGTTCGCCTTCCTAACTGGTTCTTCACCTTGCGTTTTGGGTGCGTGGTCTTTGTCCGTGATGTTCAGTGCTGTAGGAGCCTGGGCGCGGAGTCTCCGTGTTGGAGACGACTCAGAAACAGCAAATTGCGCGCCACGCCACAGGCCTCGCAGCAAAAGGCCAGCAAGGAAGAGGAAGGGTGGCCGGGGAACAGCGCGGGGACGCGGGGACTGCAGAGCGGGGATCTTGCCCCCTCCCCTGCCTGTTGTCTGCTCTCCTTTCTCGCTGCAGACCAGCCCTCCAGACCTCCGGGCTTGAACCGCAGCCACGCAATTCCAAACGTTTATTTGGATTGATTGTTCGTCCCCCCCTCCCCCGCCTGTGTGCGGGCGCAGGACGCTTTTTATAACCGCGTTCCCGAGGGAAGCACCAATGGCCCCAGGGCTCCTGGGCTTGGTGGTAGGTCTACCTCGACGGTCGCACTTGGCCCTGTTTCACTTGTGGAGGGAGGAAAAGGGGTTCTCCAACCTGCCTATGCCTCTACCCCCCACATACTGGCCACTGCTTACATGCACACTCCCCGGATTTCCCAGTTGCTACTGCTGTCAACTGGGAGGCCTCTCCCTCCCCCCCCCCCAAATTGGTGTGAGGCACCACAGCCGGGATGGAGGTGACAGTACCAGGCTGGGCATCGCTGGAGGGCTTTGCCTGCAACCTTGTCGTGTTTAAGGGCCCAGAGAAGCCGCTCCGCCTACAGACCAGTGGGAAGAGAGCTTGGCTTGCAATAGAACCCAGCAGTGCGTGTAAATGCATGGGGGCAGTGGGTTCTAGTACCTAACACCGCAGTTGGGCAGCCGATTGTGCAGAGGGGAGTCCCAGGAGCTTGGGCTTCCTGCTGGTCGCTCGCTGCAGAAAGCTGGGAGTGGAGGAGATGGGCTGCCTCCAGGGAGCCAAGGCCCTTGGGCACCAGTGGCATGAGCATGCAGTGACTTTGTGTGTGTATGTGTGTGTGTGTGTGTGTGTGTGTGTGGTTCCTGGAACTCTGCAGCTCTTGTTTGCACCCTGTGGGCCTCCAGTCACCGCAGGGTGCCCCCTTCCTTAGCAGTTCCTCTGGAGGCCTGCTTCTGCTGGTGCCAA